AGCCGCCAACAATGACAATGACATAGATCGGCTGATGCTTCTGGTGTGGGCAGGAGCTGTGCATAGCTCGCTGGGTTGGCTTGGCATGCCATCAAACGTTGCCAGGAGTGAGGTGATCCCGCTCGCCAGTCATTTTGGCAAGCAGAGGCGCTCAGAACTTGCATGACCTTTCCGCCGTGGTGCTGTCGCAGAGAGGGGTAACAAAGGTCGGGTCGTATAGAAAAGTACAAATGAAGGCTGTGCTGATGTTTCAAGTGTGTGACCACCAAAATCCTGATTCTTCAGGTTTTGGATTGCAGCCGCGCTTCTGCCTGAGCGCAAACCCCTTGTCTCTGCAGTCTCATCTCATGCCGTAAAAGGCTGCCGGATCAGGATCCCTTTCTGCGGCATCCTCGAAGATAAGATCTGATCTCTTCGTTTGGGAAGGACACAGCGTTCCGACTGGTAGGTTTCTCGTTTTAAGGACTCCGCCTTCACGTCCCTTTCAATTGGCTCAACTCCAGAACTCTCTTCCTTCTCATCTAGCCTCCATCTAGTCCGCTCCATGAAGCAAGTCTGCTATTATCCCTTTACCAATCCAGTGCTAGATGAATGTAAATCCAGCTGACCGCCTGATTATATGAACGGGTCATCACGAAAGCTCCTTGCGGCAGCTTTGTTTAGTACCTCACGAAGTGAACCTGGGGATTGCCGTGGAGGGTGGATCTTGGGGGGATCTTAGGGGGATCTGGGGGGATTTTGGAGGGTGTTTTTTTAAGGAGGCTTTCGGTAGGAGGGTTGCCGCTCTTTTAATGGGCAGCGAGGACTGGGCTGCGTGCTCTTCTGGTTGTATATGGTCTGTCTCTTCACGTCCTGTCTCGCTACTCCTGTCCATTATTGAGCTTTCGTCCCAGCCCGTGGCTCTCAAGTAATATTGAAGCACATCTTCAGCTTATGTTTTTTTTTTTTGTGAGCACCGCAAACTATATATACTACGGGCGGATCTACACTTACACTGAAGGGTGTTTATGGGGGCCTTCATGTGAAATCAAAGCTCTGAAGATAGGGATAAGCATGATAGATTGTGTAGAGGGATCTTCGTCAACTGAGGCAAGGTTTTTGTGGGCACATCGCCACAGCATTGCTGGCAGTGCTTCACAAACTAAGGGAATGAACAGAATGCCAGCCATATCAATGACAAGCGCATACCATCAATGGAATAATGGCGCCAACCGTTAACATGGATTGTCATCCCATATTTTGTTTCACGCAGCTACGTGTCATATGCATCCATGTGTAACAATAATTTATAGTTTGAAAATATTCTTTTCAACAGCACATTCAGTGCGATTCTTGATTGTCAGACTTGACACTGACAAGGAAGCCTCTGCCTACTGCGACTTCTGGAAGTAGTGTTACGGCAAAAGCTTTCGCAATGTTGCAAGAGCTAGCTGCTTGAAGGAGGGAGTTGTGTTGCGCTTTTCAGTGATCATGGGCTTCGGTTTCCTGGCAGCTGCTGTTTGCATGAGCTGCATGAGCAACGGACAGTGGATTGGACATCGCAACTCCAACATGAGCGCGATCTTCATCGTGCGACAAATTACTTGCTCTAGGCAACCTTCATGCAGATGCCACTTGCGTGATCTGGCACGACTAATCGGCTGTAGTCAGCAAACCCTGTCACAGCCAGCTCCAAGCAGCGTCAAGTGCCCAGATTGCGCTCTTCACGGAGCATCAGTGCATAGAATTCCGGCGAAGAAACAGCTGCGATCAGGTCATGGGAGGTCATACATGGCAAGACAGGTTTGACAGACCGGACGCAGGCGGGAGTTTTCCTTTTCAGCCAGTCTCAGCGAAGCAGACACATAGCTAGGAGGTGCACGAAGCTGCTGGGCTTCTGCCAGCGAACGGCTTGCAGCACGTCTTCGTCTAGCCCGAGGTGAGGCATGTTGGTGCGGCCATGCAAGATGGCCGCAATGTACAACAACAGGGCATCGCGGTGGATGCTCAGGCAATGCATTTTCCGTGCTGGGAGATTGCCGAGCTCCAGCGGAAACCTTGGCAATATTTTGCCAGAATTATGCTTCTCCTGATTCATGAGACTATATGAGATTCAGAGTCTTCAATTTCATCAGGTAGTTGGCTTTGATGGTCTTTTCCGTTCGCTGGCAGAGCCGCTTCAAATTCCTAAAGGCCAACCATGTAAACAGCTCGAAGCTGCAACCTCTATGACTCGAGATGTCTCCAGGATCACTTGGCCTGGCGCCAAGGATCGAGGCTTCGGGGATGATTTTCTTCGGTCAAAAGCCGTTTTCGAGCTGCCGAGTTAGAGGCAACTGCGCTTGGACAAGCCACGAGCGAAGGACGCGAACGAAGCGAAGAGGAATCGGCCAAGGCCAGTGCTGACACCTTGAAGTACAAGCCTGCAAATGGCTAGAAAAGCAAGCTCTGCTCAAACAGGTTGCCCATCCACCAGCAGAGGAAGCAAAGGCAGCAACTGTCGCAAGATGGGTTTTCTCTTCCTTGCTTTCTCTCCCTAAACTTCTGCAAGAGCAATGAAGAGTGAGCAAAACACGTCCATGCAAAGCTGCAAGGCTGAACGTTCTATAAATGGGGCTGTTTGATGCACTTTCTGCATGCTTTGGAGGCCTCGCTGCAGATGAGGATCTGCGCGGCCCACAACCTGAGGCCCAGGTACAGTCCCGAGTGGCAAACGATGTGAGTGCAGCTGTGCGCTTCGGAGGTCCTCAGGTTTTGCAGCAGATGTACTTGATCCGTCCATCGCTCATTTTCTCCAAAGAAGGCCTTCGGCATCTTGCGGCTGCCTAGGTATGTGGTGGTGCGTGCTGGTGGGCAGCAATGGCAGACACCGCCGCTGGCCTAAGTTGTCCTGGTCAGGATGAAGAAGCGAGCAGCTCTGATTCTGGCGATTTCTGGCGTTCATGGCTGCCGTGTGCCAGCTCTGCTCGCCTGCACCAGCTCACAGGTAACAGCATGTGACAGCTTGAACTTCACCACTTAGAACTTGGACTTGCCAAGGTGACTTGTGTTAAGATTTGCCAGCAAAAGGAGGTAAAACCTGAACTACAAGTACGCAAAGCAAAGCACACAACGCTGGCGGCTGATATGTCGTTCCGTGTGTGACGTTTACCTCGGACCCATGAACTCATGTGGAGTCCTGCGGAGAGCAAAGATGACACTTCGCCAAAGGGTACCTCTCGAATTGTTGACACACAAGATTCCCGGCCCAGCTCCGAGAACGTTCAGGACTTACTGTCAGTAACGCGTGAGAGTCACACTTTTCACATCATTAGGCAGAGACTTGTTTATGATGTTGTAGCCTGGCCTTGGAGCCACAGGAGGCTGTGGCTCTTCTTGATGAGACTCTCGCTGCCGCTGGCTCAGTTGACCGCCTGCGTGAATCTCTGCGTGAAGCTTCTGTGAAGCTTTTGTGAAGTTCAGGCCAATTCCAGAGGTACTGGGGGTCCGCCTGGTATGGGCCGACTCTCACCGCGCTTTCTGGAGGCGGTGATGGCGCCGGGAGCAAATATTGGCATCAACCAGGTGGGTTTTGGAGAGCATTCTCATGCAGATTGCAGCACCTTTGGGAAGCTGAGGCCGGCTGGCTACAGTTCGAGCCTGGGGCCCATGCGCACATCATGGCTCAGCACTCTGCAGAAGAGATGCAGATCATTCTGTACCGTGTCTTGCCTGTACTATTGGTAGTGCTCAGGCGGCAAGTTATTTTTCTTTTCGGTTGTCAAACTCAACCCGATTCTCGAGGTGGCTGTGATCTGGTTCTTTACGATGCGCACCACCAGCGGGCCTTTGCCCGGCGGCTGACCAAGGAGCAAGCCCAGGTGCTTGTTCACAATCGACGCCACAGCTCCTGTCCTCTGTGCAAGCAAGCCTTGAGCGAGTCCTGGGCTTTTGTGGTGGAAGGCTACTGGGAAACAATCCGCAAGGTTTTCGCCGCCAATGCTGGTGAGGAGGAGACAGCTGCAATCGCACAGTTGCACAGCATAGCAGCTGGCTTGCTGAACACCGGCTATTATGCACGGTTCTTCCGGGAAGAACGGAAGCTTGGATCTGGGTCCTTTGGCGCTGTGTACCTTTGTACACACTTGATGGATGAAATTGAGCTGGGAGTTTTTGCCGTAAAGAAGCTGGCGCTAGGAGATGATGCCAAGAGGCTCCGGCAGGTGGTCAGGGAGGTGAAGGCTTTGGAAAAACTACGACACATGAACGTCATTGATTACAAGCATTCCTGGCTGGAAATTGATCGACATTCAGAGCTTTGCCCGTATGTTCCATTCTTATACATTCTCATGGAGCCCTGGCAAGACTACAATCAGACTTTCAGTTTCAAGATCTTAGTCAGTTTGAAATCGCTTGAACATGCTGCAGGAATATTGCAACTACGGCTCCTTGGAGACATTCATTTGGCCGAGAAATCCAGGCTTCATACGGGGCAGGCTTGACAATTTCAAGCGAGCCCGTGAGCTAACTGATGAGCTCATTTGGCACTTTTTCCATGGTTCCGGCCTAAGACCTTTCGTGATGGGAAGGGCAGAGGTGCAAAGGTGCAAAGGTGCAAAGTCTGGATCAGTGCTTTGAACGTTTTTGACTCCAAGGCATGTGTAGTGGCCTTGATCATCTACACTGCCGTGGCATTCTGCACATGGACTTGAAACCGTCCAACATCATGTTACACGTGGATGAGATGCCTGAAGCATTGCCCAGGCCCATGTTGTCTGACTTTGGTACGTGCCAAATCATTGGAGAAGGTGTTTCTTCTGAGGGCGGATATGCTGTCGAGTTCTGCTCTCCAGAGCGACTGGACAAGCTGGAGGTGGGAGAGAAGGGAGACATGTGGAGCGCGGGGCTGGTTCTCTACGCCATGTGCTATGGAGATCTTCCTTACCACAGTGATGACCCCTTGGAATGTCGACGCCAAGTCGCGAGCCACAAGGTTCTACCAGAACCCACTACGAATGCTGCATGGCACACACGGGACGAGAGGTACTGGAACGTGGTTTGCATCTTGACGTCGCGGCAGCCCGTTGCCAGACCATCTGCCCGAGAGTGCGAGGTGCTGGCAGCGCAAGAGCTGGCGCGGCTGGCGATGGCTCCAAAGTCGCCAATGAAGAGCCTCAGCTCTCCCTCGGGCCCACACATGATCATGGACTCCACGGACTCCAAGACCCTTCCACAACTCCAAGACGGCGAGCTGACCTGAAAGCAGAGCTTCCTCTCCCCTGCCTCGCCCAGCTCTGCCTCCGGTCAGCGCTCACCACCACCACATCATCCACATCCCTCCCTGCGACTCGCAGATTTTTTTCATTCTGGGCTTCAGCCTCTAAAAGTTTCTAGAGCTTCAGGTTTGTTGTAAGTAACGTCGCCACGAGCGACTCTTGATCAAACGGGCAGTTGGCACGTTCAGGTCTTTGGCAACCGCTTTGCGCATGGATTCCGCGCAGCGACTCGGCTACTAGTTCGCAGAGGGTTCCTGGCTACGCTGCCATGTTTGGTGCGCGGCTGAGAGCTGGGCAGTCTGGCTGCCCCGTCGAAGTGGCCTCTGATGCGGAGGAACCGACACTTGCGAGGCATATTGGCATCATGGCAGCACACTATCCATGCCCAAACCATAATAACGTCCATGCTGGAGTGCATTCGACAAATCAGAGCATCCATGCCCAAACCATGATAACGCGAGCTCTTCCGCTGACGCTTTTTTGCAGCCGGTCGATAGTTTCCGAAATGAGCCTCCTGGAAAGCATTGTGTTCCCACAGCGCAACCCACAAACACCTCCAAATTTAGCGACCGTCTCTGGGTTTTCGGCCTCTGCGACTCGTCCCCCAAAAGCTGCAATTGCGCCGACGCAGTTTTGTGCTCTTTTAGGTTGCGCTGGCTCCATCCCTGCGCGCAAACGGGCAGGAGTCATTTGTGGCGACATAACCTTGTTTTACCTAGCATTGTAACCTTGTCCCGGGTTTTTGTGGGCTTCGCTTACGTTTTGGAAATGTTCGAAGATCTCGAAGTTTGGAGTGTACCGATGGCAGAGGATGGCGGACTTGCCTTTTCTAAGCTTCTGGGGAGTCGAGGGCTGCTGCAACTGTTGCAAGCTGCATTTGGGCCGCGACCTTGTTTTTCACGCTACCTCCAGTACTCGTGTACTGGGGGCGATGAAAGGGAAAACTGTAAGACGCAGAGGTCACGCAGAAGCCCGAACAACAACATCCAGGAATCAGGACATCATGTACTTGGCTTGCCACAAGGAACTCAAAAAAAGAATGCTGCCCAGCCCATAAAGCCTTTACATGCATGATGTGCACTTCGGCAGCAGCATGCCCTCGGATTCCTTTGATGCCTCTTGGACCGGTATTACGCTCTGAGTCAACAATTGGCATGACATCACAGACTCCTGCTCCTTTGTGTATTTTGCGTGCTTGATTTGAATCAACTTGTGCGATGTTTGTCGCATGTGATTCTCTCACCCCTGTCTTAGAGTTGGGCAGGATTTTGACAGCACATGTGCGGTCTGATCAAATGTGGCGGTAAGGTTTCAGTTTGATGTCCCGCAACTGGCATAGGCTTCAAGGCAAAAAGGGGTCGAGGCCTTGCTTTGTGGGGATAGGAGCTCGTGTACACGAGTTTTTCATCGGCGAGACTTTGCTAGACTGCAGGGGGAGACACTTCTTCACGCAATGTTCAGTGCCAAGATCTGTCAGTGAAGCACAGCGGAGCCTAGGCAGAGAGTAGGAAAAGAACCCCTGCCCGCAACCTCCAGTGACCACCTCCAAGGTGATCCCATGCCAACATGCCGCGTAACGTGGACGACGCGGGCAACCACTCACGTGCTACGCTGGCATATGGGTGATCAAGCCCACAAGGGACACAGCCAGCCCCAACACCAGTTGGCGGACAAAAAAAGCCATGCATTACTGCATTGCAGGGCTAAATCTCATCCATCTTTGCCTTTAATTGTCAGACCAAGGGCATTGACTCACAGCTCCGACCCTCTGTGGACGACTGACAATCTGTGCACGCCTCGTGCTTTGAAGTAGCGAGCGTTCAAGTGAGAAGGCGGCACCGCAGCACCTGCAAGGTTCACATTGGAAAGTGAAGAAGCAGTGCCCGAACTTTTGGAGTTGGAGGTGCGGAGCAAAAGCTTTTAAGCTGAAGCTGCTTGCAACATGCAAACTGCAAAGGTCATGAATGCAAACGATTCGTGCGTCCTTGGGTACACAGAGTTGAGCATCCCCGATCTTTGCAAAGGCAGGTGTGACCGCCTGCTGTTGCCCTTTTCCAGGAGCCAGACATCGTGAGTTATTCTTGCAAGTATCCTACATCAAGCCTGAGGCACATTACAGTAGATAGGTTCTGGCTCGAGCTGCCAACAGCCATGCAACTCCAACTAGCTCCCGTGACAACCTCCTGCACGGCCCGGCAACAAGATCTCCACTGCCTGCCCACGCTCAGAGATCTTGCGTTTTCTGCAGCTGCAAAGAAAATAATGGCCTTTGCATCCCCATCGGGCCTGCCGGGGCAGTTGCGAAATGCTGGAAAAGCATGCTGCCTGTTGCGGGGCTGCTGAGCCTGAATCTGCAAGCTCCAGGAAGATTGCTTGGAGCTCTTGAGGCAAGCGAGTCGAAAATCAGGGAGCCTCGCAAATCTTTACTGCGCCGCAGATGTTGGTTACTGGCATTGAAACATATGTTTTTGGGTACGTATTCAGGTTGAGACACGCTTTCACAATTCCAAATTCCAAAAAAATCTACATTTCATATGTTCCTTGTCAAGTTAAATGTTGTATGTACTTTCCATTTTTGTCAAAACCGTCCGTAAATATTTTCCTGTTATTTTTTTTGCACCAAGAAGCAGCTTGTGTCCGCTGCAGCGCGCAGTGCTTCGCGCCGTGAGCACCATGCTCAGCGCATTGGCAGGCGGCTGGGGCCGATCGGCTCCGCCAGCGCCAAAACTTGATCCAGGGGCAGTTCTTGCCCGACCGCCGCCCTGGG